GGTAGAAAATCATTCAAATCTAGTGCGCAGGCTATGATTTTCCAAGAAAAGGTAAGTTTTGAGGGGGGGGGTAGCATATATATATATATGTATACATATATATATATACATGTATACATATAAATATACATATAAACATATATACATATATACATATATACATATATATAACCCTATATATCCATATGTGACCCTACATATTTTGTGTAGCAACACTACAACCATGCGACAGCGAGGCAAGCTAGCCCCCTGGATCAATTGACTATCACATTTGACGGTCAATACCCCGTTAGTGCTACAGCATCGCCTGAAAACCTCAGTAGGACTCCATACAAGTTCAGACATGACTTTTGATGACCCATCTTGGTATCCCTTCAATTCTGCACTGAGATTCCCAAATGTTGAAAGATTTGTGCTAAGTAGCGATTTTCGTTGAACAGAACTGGTTCGAATACTTAACGCCATGCCATTGTCATGCCACGAACAATGAGACCATGCAGACGATATGGATTCAGTCTCCGGCTGCCACGACCGTGTTGATCTTGCTCTTCACCGTGGTACCACCTCAGCACTCTTTATTCTTCTTAATATTACTATTCCTATTACTACTATCATTACTATTATTATTACTACTACTATTAGTACTATTATTACTACTATTACTACTATTACTACTAGTACTACTATTCCTATTGTTCCTACTATTCCTACTATTCCTACTATTACTTTACTATTACTACTATTACTACTACTATTATCTAAGTATCCTCTTCCACACCAAGGTGTGGGCCCACCATGAGAGACTTTCAAGGCACAAGTTCTCAGACCCTGGCGAGCTCGCTTCCATGCTGCTCCTCCACATGGGAGGGTTTCTCAGACGAGGCGGCCCTAGGAACCCTGGGAGTATGTCAGGATTGGGAGGAGATTGTAAGGATCGTCTTTAGGAGATGTGGGGGGGGGGATCCTCTTGAGAAACTATCATCCTGAAAACAAGGCCAGGAAACACCTGAACGTAAGCCGGCAGCATGTCAGCTGTTATGGCACTAGTATGACCTCTGAGGTATTCAGTGAGCACATTAGATTAGATGCTTGTAAAGCTTTGATCAAAAATAACATCTCTGCTCAGACCAATGCAAGTGATTTCTCACTAGATATTCTTCTCAGCGCCTCAAGAAAATCATGAGCTATAAGCCGAATCGAACCCCTCACGTCACTATGGAAACCCTAAACCCATTTCAAGTCAAGCCAAGTGCAGGCCCACCTGCAGGGGTGGCTCCACGCTTTCCCATGATTCGATGCCCGGCAGACCTCTCACAAAGAAAGCTGGATTGTCATTCTGGTTTGCCTTTAAGCGGGGCTACTGCCACACGACAAGAGCTTCAGAAAAAATGAATGGAAACTCATCTGGTCAAGTCGCCAAACACCTTTGTGAAGCAGGGAGTGCACCTACATCCTAGGCTTGGAGTTGTCGCACAATCTGCTGCTCACGCTGGCCAAGTTGCTTTGCTGGAACTTGACGCATGGAACTCCTTGAATCCCCCAGATACATCCTTCCCTCAAACTCGTGTTGCAAGAGTAACAGACTTGGGTTTGCATTTACCCTTGCGCATGGCATGATGAAGCCTTTGCCGCCTCAAGCAGCATGCTGCCGCTTCTGCAGGATTGAAATTCTTTAGTGCCTTTACTGGCTACAGTAGCTGCTACTTACCATACTTGCACGAGAATCTACAAAAGCCCGGCCTCTGACTTGCGCTGTACACTGTGGCTGTGCTGGAGGTTAGAGCCGGAGCAGCCGCATGCCAGGTGTCCAAGTCTCTTATATGGAAAGCATGGTAAAAGCGCTTCAAAGGGAAAACGTGACCAGGGCAGTTGGGCATGCGGGAGCCTCCTCCTGTCCGTCCAGTGGAATATGTACTCTGTCTCCAAGACTGACCTTCAGCGTGCTCAACTGCCTGAACACTCTCTGGACTGCACGAAATCCCAGCTGAGCAGGAAACAGGCCCAAAGGCATGCTGGATAGTGCAGCCTGGGAGGGTCTTGCAGGATTCGAGTCTGAGCTCACGAGAGAGCCATCTGCTAAGGAACCGACCACAAACTCCACCTTTGACCAGAATCCGTCCTTGTCCAGATCGTGCTTGTAGAACCTGTAGGGTTTAGGGCTCCTAGTATCCCCCTTAATAATGGAGAATCAAACGGAAATTTGAATGGAAAATGAAATGGAAACTGGAATTATCCGCCGACCTTGGGGGGCGTGTTGGATGGTTGCCGAAGGCGGAGAGGGTGAAAACCCTCTTCCTTTCTCCCTTACAGCCCCAAAACGGGGGGGGGGTGGGGAAGGGGGGGGGGGGG